CTTAGCTGGTAGTATCCAAAGCAATGGACTTAAAAGATATTGGGACAGAGCCTGATCTGTGGAAATTTAAATTTTTTTTTCTAGTTCTTATGCAAAGAGATGTCCTAAAAAATCGGGAGTATTTTTCACTATCTTTTAAACAGTCTTCAGCCATTTCCTTGTGATGAAAATACAAAATCTTCAGTTCTTTTCTTTTCCAATCTGGGACTTCACGGTAAAGCAAATATTGCAGTCTTTGCTCATGCGTAAGGCTTGTACAAGCCAAAGGAAGGTAAAAAAAAAAAAAGAACCAAGAATTCAGCAATGACTTAAGCAAGGTCTGGTGCATAAAAGTTTAAGAGCCATAATAAAAATGGCTAGCACCTGGGAGAAACTCAAATCGCAACATTTCATAGGAGCATGACTTCTTAACTGGCTTCAGCTCTGTAAAAACTGCCATGGCTGAAAGAGCAGTCCTGACCTCCCTTTGTGCAGAGTCTGTAACATGCCTCTGCCTTCTTGTGGTCAAGCAGTGGTCTGGTCTCTCTGCAACTGCTCTGGTGCCAGCAGTGCCACAAAGGGAAGGTCAGGAACAGAGCAGCTGGAAATAAGAAGAATGGAGCCATTCTTTTCATCATGCTCAGAGTGTGAACATCACCTCAAGTTAGGATCTGAGCTAATACCAGTTGAAGTTTCCACTGACATCATTGTTTCTACTGGCTCTGCTTGGTGATGATCTACGTAAACTTCACCTAAAAGGCAGGTAAGTCAGAGTCGTTTTCAGCTTAGTTATGGTACTCTAGATAAATTCATCCCTATCAAAATGAGTCAGAACAGCCCTAGCTGTTTTACAGGTGATAGTGCCTCTGGCAGTGGCAGCCTCCCAGCAGGTATCTAATTTTTGTATCTGTAAAGAATGGGTATAAAATTACCTCCCTTGCACATATAAGCTTGCAGAGCACACTCTTCCATATCATGACACAGCTTCAGCTGCATAGGCCCCATCTAGACCAGGGCTTTACCTATGTCTGCTTTGGGCAGGCCCAGAGGGATCTTTTAATACCTACTCAGTACTGATACATACTCAGTACTGATGATGGTAGAGTAGATCAGTATTGACTTGATCAGCCTTTTGTTTGAAAGGCATGTTTTGTGGAGTATGAATATGCATCTGTGGCTTAGAAATGCAATTGTTCTCTCATCCAATAAGAAGACAATTTGGCATATTTAATTATTAATTTCCTTGGATAATTATAGAGTTTCTAAATTAAAGTTTTTGTGCATTTTACACAGTCTGTGATTAGAACTTATCCATTTGAAACATTTGTTTTTCTGTTTATCCTTTAGAGTTAGGTACTTATTTCACAAATACTGAGTTTGTTAGGATACTTTCTTTGCATATGATTTTTTTTTTACCTCACTCTAAAAAGTGTTAGCCTATACGGCCATCAAAGTAAAGGATAAATGCCTACACACCACTAAACATCAATTAACCAAGCTGAACCTTTGGAAAGAATTATTCCATGAGCAAGATGGAAAAAAAAAAAAAAGTTAAAACCAGAGGTTGTTCTGAAATCACTTCATGAGAACATAATTTCCTTTAATGACCCAGATGAGTTTATATGAGTTAAGATAAATTGTTTTGTTTCGCATAACCTGGCTTTGTTAAAGCTCAGAATTTAATACGCTAAATTTGTACAGACCTAATACCACCTGCAGGTGAAGCAGGGCAAATATTTTTTTACTTGGCATTAAAAATTATTCCCTTGGAAGAGAGAGAAGTAGACACCTTCTGCACTCTTGTATTTTCTTTCACAAGTTCCTCATTGGAGAAGCATCATGAACGACAAAGGTGCTACTACAGAAAATTTTGTTCTTCTTGGCAACAGGATAATTCTTTAGCAGCTCTGTTAAATTCACCACTGTGATGCCCCAGTATCAGAAAACTAAGCAAAAGGGAAGGAAGAAAAAAAACTTGAAATTCAACACTTTTGTTGATATACCCTCAAAACTGACATTTCTAATTCTGACTGCCTATATTGGAATCTCCAAGGCAGACTTTTCCTTCTGCTTTGTCCTCTCCCTGTATTATTCTAAACCTGATTATTTTGTCACAGCAACTTTACAAGACTATGTATCCCAGATCAGAGTCCTCAGAATGGATATTCTCCATCCCCATGAATATCAAGAATACAGTGCTGGTGGTGGTGCTGTGAGTGCTTTATTGAACAGAACTATTGCTATCCACTGAGATATTTCAAAAGGGAGCAATAAAGGGGTCTTTTTAAGTTTTGCTAAAAGGCACAGGTTTGTCTGTCTCTGAAGCCCACTCAGCACCTTCTAGAACTGATCTTCAAGTCATTACTACTTGGGATACACAGGTTTTGAAAGCTGTCTTACTGAAGCTTAAACTAGAGTTACAGTTAAGAAAGGTTCCCTTAGGATGAAAGTGGAGAGGCCAAACATACAGGAATAAAGCCCAATTCTGACATATTAGGCTCATTCTCCTAGCAGTAATTAACTGTTAGTATTTAACTATCTACAGCTTCATTAAAGTGTCCTGTATCCATGCCAGCTTTCTCTGAAGTCACTTAGAACCAAACCAGATGGAAAATTTACCCTGATGTGTACTTTACCCCAGCATGGATCAGTACTACCTTTAATCACAGCATTCCCTTCACTGAAAAGGGGGAATACGTCAAGTGTTTTGGTAAATATAGCTACTACACATGGCAAATGTCAAGATTTTAATGACACTCACTTTCAGTGCTTTCCATCTTCAAAGGGCTTCCCACTAGTTGATATACTTTAGAGTAACGACTATTCAGAACTGCCTTGTGAAGTAAGTGCTCAAAGCATTAAGTTGTTTTCTGGCTTTCTTCTCTCCCTTGAGTTCACTGCCCCAAAACCCTTAGAATGGAGGCTGTATTCAATCACTGCTACACAGTCCTGGCATGTTAAACACTGTTTCATGACAATATGGCTAGCAGGTAGGCTGTTTTGCTGCTCGATTTGTCCAGTATTCTACTTCAAGTGAAACAACTGGCTCAGGCTCTAGGCTTGGCAGGGTAGGTGCATGTCTGCCATTGTTAAAACCTCATTCTTTCCTTTGAGTGTCATATTCTTAGACTTCGGTGGAAGCCAGAAGGCAGAATACAGGCTTTGCAATTTGACTGTAGAGTTAACTTCTTTCTTACCACTTGCATCTTTCTTTGCTGGTCTTAAATGCCATGCTTCCTTCTTTTTTCTTTTTTTTTAATCCAGCTTTCAAGAATGTATTTTATAACAGCCCCCATCTATGGACAATTATGCTTAGTTAGCTGTACTCAACAGTGATGATTTCATAACATGCCACAAACAGGTGCCCATTAAATTCCTTTATTGGAGACAGAAACATTGCATAATTACAGATTTGATGAGGGGAAACTGCAAATAGTATAGACTGTTTCTACTGCCAGCAAAATACATTTATTACAGGATTTATAGACATACAAATATAAAGTGTTTCTTTCATGCCAGATGGTCCATACATAACAATACCATTAGGAGCTCTTAATTGTGCTTCTACGAAACCATTAGAGAAGAATGAGGTAGAGTTTCCTTTAGTTTATCCAGTATTTTTTCACACATCTGCCTTTTACTGGTTTTATATGCTCAGATCCTTGTAAAGTATGCAGTTAACTTTAACATTTGAGAAAACAGAGACCCTTCAGAGGTGTTTACTTCTCCCTCTTTAAGTTGTTAATTTCCCACTGCTTATACGCTATGATCCCAGTAACTACTACTGTACCCTTCTAAATACTTTGAAGGTCAGGTAGATTGGGACATCTGTCTTTCCAAATTTACAGCTTTGACAGAAATTGTTTGCAAATAGCTTCAGATAAAACTCTTACTTGTTTCCATCACAGCAAAGAACCTTTTGCACCCTATCACTCTCTACTGTAGTGGCCAAGCTAAAGTCCAAGCCATCTCCCAAGGAGATGGAGGGAATAGATTCACTCTGTCAACATCCTCTGCTATGGAATAGAGTTAATTATATACTACTGGGCCATTAGAAAATAAGTATAAATTATGGGTACAGAATGGGCCACTGACCTGTAGAAAACAGTTTCTCACTATTAGATGATTTGGAGCATTACCTGTTTGTTCCCACCTAATATTTTATTGTTTCATGACAAATAAGTGTGTTGCAGCTTTCAGTTAATATACTAGGGCACACATTATGAAAATGTAGGCACAGATGTAGGTATTTAAGCAACTGAATAAGAGCATTCTTAAATAGCAATAATAATATACTATCCTGAAAGACATTTGGTATACCTGGGTAGTCTCTCTTTTGGACTGTATGAGAATGGTAATGATGTTCTTCTGACATCCTTTCTTGATGGGTAATTTTACCCTCATTTGGTAGCATTCCTGTTCTGGAAACAGAAGACTTTGCTCTGGCATTTGCTGCAGGTATTTAGTACTTCATAAAAACCCGAGAGTGCACTAGAGTACAGTAGAGGAAAAAAAACCCTGTTATTTCACCTGAAGAGGCCACAGGTCCAGCAGTGACCAAATCATAATGAAGAGGGCATTTGGAATACAGGAAGAAGCTGATTACATAAAGAATGTTTGCTTTCTTCCCATAACCTACTAATAATAGCTCAGTAATACTATATCAGAATTCCAAAATGAAAGTGCAAAATTTAACAGATTCCATGTTCCTATCTTGATCACTTTGATCATAAAATGAAAGAAAAACTGTTCCTGCAAGATAGTACCGCCTGAGATAACTTTTGAATTCCTCCACCTCACACTTAAATGACTGTTCTAAGCATGACAGAATCAGGTCCTATCAAGAGTTAGCATTACTAAGAGAACCAGCTCTTAGAAACTTTCCAACTCTTTCTTAGAATAAAAGCACTACACTTACTTTATCTACTATTCCCTGCTTACCTCTTTGGTAAAAAACAAAACTGACCAGTAATGGAAAATCATTTAGAACACTGTAGTTAGTAACTTCCACAAAGTTGTCGTCTTTTTTTTTTTTTTTTTTTACCTTAACATTATTTAGCAGATATTTTAAAGACTTTAAAATTCTATATCAAGGTCTTAAATCCTCCTTAAGATCTTCCTATGAACATGAAATTTAAGACTTTTTTTTTAAGATAAAAAATTCAGGATTGTGGTAAAAATGGTAAAAACCAGACAAAATAAACTGAGTTTTAAGATAACCAAAGAGTATAAATTCATGTTCAGAGAGACACAAGGATCTATTCACTGCTATTACTACTAGTAAAATTAAACACCTTTATTTTCACTAAATTTGAGTGTGGTTGACACTGCTAGTGTGGTTAATAAGAATCTGAGCTACTAATTCCAAAATTTTATTCCAAATCTAAGGATTGACTATTCCTGTTCGGTATTGTTCTCTGCCTGCTAAGCCCTAATGTACCTGACTGTTCTACCTGAAGGTAATAGCTAAGTTAGCTTTGTTTACGGAGCTGGAGATATATTTGCCAAGTGTGCTGCAGATGGCACTCAGATTCTTGCGTAGCCAGGGGAAATATCCTGGAATTCCCACTAATAATGTTTAAAGCAAGGCATGGACAGAAGGATTGCTACAACGGTATTTCTTACTACTGCAATACCAATACTCTATTTTGCTATTATGACTAAACCTACAACTACTTATTAAGAAGTTACTTAGCTTAAATAATTTAGGACCTACAAATTATTTTTCCAAATCTTGAGAATAGCGACAAAATACAGTAAAACACAACTCTGACACTTCTTAACTACTAAATACTGCAGTTCAGAAAAACTGTAGTCAAGATTGATAGAGGTCTGTCTCAGTGCTGCATGACAAAGCGTACCTCTAGAAGAGTTGTAATCTAATGCCTCTACATCGAGAGGTACAATACTTCCTTCAAGCACATCACTTCAAAATAAGATAGCTCTGTATGAGAGGTGAAGGTGAATTCTCATTTCAAGATTTTTCTGTATGCTACTTCATATTCTGAACTATGTATTTTACTTGTTTATAGGTTTATACAGAAAATCTTAAATATATTTCTTATTTGAATAACATTTTTCTCCTGCATAATCAAGACACTGCCACTCTAAAGCAATGCTTCAAATACTGGACTCTACACAGCATCTTTCTCTGCTGCTTAAAAAGCTTTCTGGAAAGCTTATTCGATCTGCAGTAAAATAACTTTCATGTAAAAAGCTGGATTAGAGTTAAGAGTGGTAAAAGTGGTAATACTACTACTCTGCGCTTACAAAGAGGTTAGATAACTTGCCCAGGATCACAAAGCCAGTGGGAGTCTGTCTGTTCAGGCATTACATGTGCAGGTGATAAAGTGCAATTCTGACCCCTGAACACCTGCAAGATGACCAAAACGTCTTTCTTTTTTTAAGTATCACTACTGCTGAAAACAAAACACAAAGCAAAATTTGCTTTAATAGTCACTTTTAGATAGGAGGCGAAGTGGCATCATGATAGGAAGCTGAGGAAAAGGGGCTGCAAGTCTGTGTGGAAGGCAAAGAAAGGCAGCAATGAACAGCCCACCTCAGGGCACACTCAACCATCATTTACACCTGCCTGCCTCTCAGTATACAAGCCTGCCACTAGAAGTTTACCATCAGTAGGATGGATCCCATGCAGAGAGAGACAATGTGCCATATGTAGTCTGGCAGGCTGTGCTACCATCTCCGTATTCTATTTCATGGCAAGGCACTGTCAACAGACAGAGGCCACTGAATTCAAAAGGGTTCTTCCTCTGAAGAGGCATCTATGACATCAGTTCCAGCTGTTTTTCAGTCTACCTCCTTGGAAGACTATGTATTAGACAGATATTTCAAATAACTTGCACTCCAAATGAACCTTTCAAATATCACATTTTAACATATCACCATTCTGCATGCCTGAGGGAAAATAAGTATAAAGTAATTACACAGGAGGGGATCAATGATATCTCTTTGAATTAGGTAAACCGTAAACAAGAGTTTATCTAGAAAGAGGTCAACTGCTTTTTAGCTTGAGATAGTTGAACAGGTGTAAACAATTGCTGGGCAGAGAGAGCTCTCACTATCTTGCTTTTGTCTTATCAGACTTCCCTTGTATATCCCAGAAAAAAATTATGTTTGCTTTGCACTTCTATGGACTGAAGAGATTATCTACCCTAAGCAGGAAGCTTTATTAGCATTCTCAGAAGAACCTGTCACTGTAAATTCCCAGTGAATTTGCCCTTATTGCAGTTAACAATCTAGATAAGTAATACCAGTTGCTGAAGCCATAAGTTTTCATATCACAACAGCTTGTATGAAATACCAGTTTCATGAAAAGTTCTCTCATCTGAAGGACTTTTCCTACACATGAATCATGCTCACCCAACAGAAAATTAAAGACATGCTCAGTACTGAAAATAATCATCAAAAGAATGAAGGGGAGAAGAAAGACCACAAAAAAATTGGAGTTTGTTATTATCATGTTAAAGTAGCAGTGTTTGTAAAACATAAGCATGTGAAAGGCTGAATCTCATTTGATCAACCCAATTAAACATTAAATAATTGCAGCCAATTATGCAAATATCACACAACAATATTAATTTGTTGATCTTTTTTGAATAGTCTCAAATTCTCATAATGTTAGACTATCTTATGTCTTAAATGATCAATTAGCAGAGCCATAACTAAGTGATGAAGAATGGATAATTGCCTAGTTATGATGTACCATACTCTTTCTATGTAAATCTGTGGCAATTAAACCAACAGGGCACATGGAGAAAAGATGTGCAGATGTTCTTTTACAAACTGTTATTAGCTTAGGGAATACCACAGTTCTCTCCTAAATTTTACAGGCGAAAATAGGGGAGTGCAATACCAAACACTCACTATTATTTACACATACTATTTCTTTGCTTTCGTTAACAGGATTAAAAAGCAGTGGTAGAATGCAGGGTTGGAGAGCATGCAGTATCAGAAGAATTTCCTGTATTATACTGACCTGTCAGCTCCCTTATTTAGGTTTTAAAGTTTAAAATGTAGAACCTATTCACCCAGATACCATTTAACCAAGATGTTAAAGACAACGGTTAACATACACATGTTAAGACTCTACATATTTTCATTCTTCCTTGCTATAAAAGTCTAAACATTTCTGTGGGTCATTTCAGTTTCAACTCCCATCATTTTGAAGTGTCCATCAGCTCAAAATTTTCATTAAAAGAAAAAGTGTCTCTCTGGCAGATGTAGGAAACAGTGCAAACAACAACAAATGAAACCACCTAGTCTCCTTACATAAAATTACTTGAATCCAATTTAAGAAGAGTTTTACACAACGTTTAGGTTTACACCACAGTAAAATAATTCTGGTCCTTATTCATTCTGGTTGATAATCAGATTACTGCTAGTATACGGATGCCTTCAAGGAGATTTTTTATATGATACCTACCAACTCTATCAACATCCTGAACTGTTCACGTATGATACAACTACTTTGCCATACATCTTAAGTTAGATATTTCCACTTTTCATTTGCTGCTAAATCTAAGAGGAACGTAAGGGGATGTAATATATAGTTCAGTAAAAGCAAGCCACCTGTGGTTGCTCATTATATAATCTTTAGAGAGCTCCATGCCACACTCTAGTTAAAGGCACTCTTTAGTTGTGACACTTGTCTCATTGGATAAAACTCTCTACCCCACATTGCATCTTGACATATTCCCTATGTTAATTTTTCCACCCATTTAATTAAAGATACCAGCAGTTTATAATAGATAGTAAGGTACTGAACAAAGACCAGCACACAATACAGTTTCAAATGGTCAGAAAAGCCAACACACAATACTATTGCTACTATAAGTGAAATAATATTTTGTGCTTGCAGTTGTATCCTAAAGAGAAAACTATACAAGTTTTAACAATGGTTACATTGTCAGAAAGAACCTTCAACTGTTCTTCATTAAAATATTAGATTGGACTGCAGTGAAAGGTAGTAAAAGGCATGATTTGAGGGAGCAAAAGAAAGTGATGGCTAAGTAGGACTTGTCTTTAAAATCTGACCAAAAATGAACACAAAATCCATAAGGCTACATTTTAGCAGTTGTGTAAGGCATGGATGGTCTATTAGAAAAAATAGCATGTCTTTTTAAACTATGTTAATAAATGTCAGTAACTGCAGAGGACTTATAAAGCATGGGAGAAATACTGTTGGGTCTTAAAAAAAATAAAGTGCTAAATATTTCCCTTATCTGGGGATCTCTGGTGCATCTCTACTGCAAACTAGGGCAATAAATGTTTCACTTTTACCTCTTATAGGACTCCATTAGTGTCAATAAAGTTCCACCAGTTTTACACTGAAGTAGCACTTTGGAACACTGATACAGAATATGGTAATTATTTTTGGCAAGAGATATCTTAAAGCTGTTCAACAAAGCTGTGTGCAAAAAGAGAAAACTAATAAATATTACAGTATGATTGTTAGTGAATATTTGCAGAAGTAATTTCCCCAGCTACATGCTCAATATTGCTTCCAAATAGTATCAAGACTGTATATGAGAAAGTAGTGCTATATAAAGTAGTATTGCGCTTCATCAGAATGAAACCAGGGTTTGAATAAAACCTCTTTCCTTCTTATGCTAAATATTTTCTGTTGATAACATAGCTTGCTCCTTAATAGGAAGGCTCTGTTAAAGTACACCTGTGTCAATGGAAGCTAGATGCATTTCACAGTGATTGGTAAAGGGGACAAGAAAAACATTTTGCTGATCTAAATTACGTAACTGGATGATGAAAGAAATTCCTCAAGCCCAAGGTTTGGCTGCTGTAAAGGAGTTCTTCGACTTTCACAGCCACAATTCTCTAATCTTGTTTTCTAGACACTCATTTGGAAGGCAACACAGTCTGCAGTGCCCAGCTCTGTGCTAGGCCAGACATAGTCACTCTTGTCTCAGCAGAGCCTGACCCAGCTATTCAAATCATGTATCAAAGGATGTGTTCAACTATTGAAGAGGTATGCACTGCCCAAGCAGCCACTGCATATCCCCATGGAGGAAAAGGCAGTAGGTCAACAGGGAGCATATTGCAAGCATGATCAACTCAGAGAATTTGGGCCTGGAGGACAGAGCTGTTATTTGACAAAGTATGCACGAGGGGATCAAGAGGGCTACGTGAACTCATGAACTCCACACAAGTAGAGTACAAAAGGAAAGAGCATATGGCTAAACTTAATTGTTTCCCAAATACAGAGCAAAAGGCAGAATAATGTCAGTGCCCAGCTAACAGGCATCTTTGTGTTATATGGCAAGGCGCTCTGCTGATGATGGCAATCAAAACAAACCAAGCTGAAGAGCAGTTGAAGAGCATTTACAAGTTTTCAGACTGTATATAAGACACAAGGAGGCTCTAAGAAAACCATTAGGAAAGTTCTATTGCTAACATTTAGCACCTCTACCAAGACAGGTGTTTACCAACAGGATTACAGTAGAAATCAAAATGATTGCGTTCACATTTGCTGGATTGTGGAAACAATCATCCTGGGAGCAAACTGATACAGGAACTATGCTATGCACAGACAGCTACAGAAGTTATCATTATTCATGTTTGCTCTGTCTGGAGGGTCTGAACTCTTCCACCTTCATGACACCAACACTGCCCAGTCGCTGTCTTCTCTTCCATACTGAAACAAACAAAAAGGGAGCTTAAGAATAGAAGTTAAAAGTAGATGTGTATAATTGATAACTTTGCTTTATCCTCAGAAAGTCTAATATTCACCACCCATAGTAGTTTGCATTATTTCTTATGCCTTTACTTCTGTCATAGATTTGAGCAAAACCTAGAGGTACCTTGAAGCTTTATCCATCTTCCAATAAAGACTAGGAAGGAGCGATACTGACACTCACTAGAGATGGTACAGAATAGTTCTGCTTCACTAAAGCTTTCCGTCAATTTAATACAGTTACCCTGAGGTTAGTTCATTAATTCATTCATAAGTATGTCCCCACTCAAGCTCTAACAAATAAACACATTTGGTCTTATTTCCTTTTATTTTTAAGGTGGCTTTTTATTACAGCTTTCTGATTGAATGTGAAAGAAAACCTGTGACAAATGCAAGAGAGTACAATTAGAGAGAATTCTAACACAAATAAAACCAGTAGTCTTTTCATATGCAGACCAGCAGGATCATCAGGCAGAAGCAAAGGCAACCTAACACATGGAGCTGTATCCCTTCCAGGGAAAGATACAGTCCCAAGGCATCACTTTAATTTGTTAAACTGGCTCCATGTTCTAAAGCTCCTTGTCACCTATCCTGTCAACAATGCTACAGAGTGCCCCAAATATGCATGTAGGGCTCAAGTATATAAATAAAGCAGAGGTGGACAGACTAGCAGCAAATGAAAGCTGGGAGCCATTTCCCTCATAGCACCATGTTCAGAGTTTGAAAACACTTTTCACCGAGGAATAGACTGTTTAGATGCTTAGATCCTTTATGTAGGCTGAAAAGATCAGTTGATGGTTATTTCTCCAGAGAGGATAAAAGGAAGCTACTCTAATCCAGGTCCTGCATTGGCAGGAAAGGAGATAAAAGGACATTAAAGCAGGAAAAGACAGTAGCTCGAAATCAGAATAATCCACAAAAATACACTTCTAGATCCACAAAAAAATTATGTTCAGTGTGCTTTTGTTTTACTCTTTACTCCAGCAGGAAAAGCCTCTAAATGACTTTCATATGTCACATCTGCTTTTTCTTTTTATTACTAGTCCTGCTGCTCCTGTCCTGTAGTTCGCAAGGTGTTTGACTAAACACTGGTATGGTGCTACATAGGACCTTGGACAAATTGTTCTAAGGATTTCCAGCATTCCCAGATGCCAGTGTGGTTCCTTTGGGACTTCTAACCACAGAAAAGCAAATGTATCGTTAGCATTAGCTTAACCACAAAGCACTGGATTACCCTCGTGTGAGAGTTTTGTTGAAGATGGAAGCAAAGGGAAAGAAAAAAAAAATTAAAAAATCACTGCTTTTCAGAGAAAAGGTGGCATCCCCATTTTCCCAAATAAAAAGCAGGCAAAGGCACGGAATTATTTGTAAGTTTTGCTGGCTTTAGGAAACATTGTCATCCCATGCTTTGATGTTGATTTTGGAAACTGCAAGGGCTGGTCTGAGTTGCCCTTTGAACCTGCTTCCAGAATTAAAAAGCGAATGAAGATGTCATACCACAATCAAGTGTTTTCATTCCAGAAATAAAAGCTGATCTAGCTTCCTTTTCTGATTTTATCAAAGACTTTGTGACCTCAGGCTAATCAGTCCCATCCCTCACTTCCCTCCCCACAGCTCCTGCTTTGTAAAAATTAAGACATACGTTCTCCTTCCCTGGTTGTTTTCTGCCAGCCTACCTATTTAGACTGTAAAACTTTGGGAAAGATAAGGGTTTTGTCTAAATATCTGTTTACTGCTGTCTTGACTACAATGTTAAAATGTGTTTCATGCAATGTAGTATAAACATATACCTTGCCTTCCATCCATCCCTTCCAAGTTGCATCCTGATCTACACTTTAAAGAGTATAGCAAAATCTTGTTTATTCTCAAAGCATTGTACGCAAAACCACAAAAATATCCGAGTGGTATTTCAGTGAGTGTATTCCCAGATAAATGAATCTCATCTCTAAATCTGCTGACTCAACCAGTTATGAAAGACAGTGTACTATGACTAATTCATTAACTCATTCATAAGCACACCATTACTGTATACAATGTAAATTATTTAATCTAAAGTTATCAGCCTTTTGTAACCATGATTTCCACTCAGTGATAGGAAGGGAAATGTATATCCCAGTACTACTACTGTCTCTCTTAATTGGCATGAGAAATGGAATCAGTTCTGCCCATGATTTTCTAATTTGTCACTCTAGCTCTAGTTCCACCTAACAGCTGTTCCAATCCAAAGAAATCCTGTTGAACACTGTAGACTTGGAAAAGAAGCAGCATGAAAACAGACTTGGAAACACAATAATGAAGATAAACTGAAAATGTTAACAAAACATGTATTGTACTTAAGCGAATCATTACAGTGATACTGGATATGGAACCCTGCACCTCTTGGTCACAGGTTCAACTGCACGATAATGTGGGTAGTGAGAATTTTTACTTTTTTTACAACTGTTCATTGTCCAATATGAAATAGGTACACGGCCCTAGTTGAGGCAACAGCACAGCACAGAGACCAAAGCTGTGTTTGGCTGTAATTTCCATTGCATCTTATTCTTCAAAACTTGAAGATTCTCTAGAATAAGAGGCTAGGACTGTCCAAATGACATGACAACACTCCAATGATACTGCAAAGAGATAAGAGATTTTATTCCACCAACCCTTCCCCCAACCCCACCTGTTAGAATATGTAAAATAACTTTGTGAAAGATCCTGAAAATTCCCCAGACATTTTAAGAATATTACATTTTCTATTTTTTGTGTTGCAGCATTGTTTTCTGTTCGGCAACCTGGGGTCCGTTTGTATATAAGCTCATCTTTCCACAGATAGAAAAGTGCAGAAACATAATCAGCAACCACTACTTGACTTTGAAAGGGGAAGCAAACATCATCCTCCTTAAAATCATGTTTTTAACCAAGAAAAGTTATAACTCTAAAGGCTCTTTTAAAGAAGGAAGAAAACCTAGAAGTACATATGTACATAATAGTCCAGCACTTTCCAAGAGTGATGGATTTACTCTTGGTATGTAACTACTGAACATACTGTATATACATAGTTGAAAGTCAAAAAGGTCCATATTGTTCTAAGGTGAAAAGTTGTACAGTGAAAAGGTCCAAGACAGTGGTTAGAAGCAATTCACACTTTTGCAGCTTCCACGTGAGCCTTGGTTGAGGATGAAAAAGTAGGGTGATCAGGCAAGAAGCCTCAGGAAGTAGGGTGATCATGGAAAGAAGCCTCAGGAAGCAGGCTGGATAAATTTTTCTTAATAATTCATTCACTATCTTTTGGCCAAGGGAGAAATACACATACTCCAGTGTTGTCTCCTGAAAGAGAATTCTGGACTTCACAAGCCATTCTTCCAGAGAGGGCAATTAATTGTCTTATGACACAAACTGCTAAGACATTACCTATTCCTACATACAACACACAACAAAGTGCTAAAACTGGCCTCAACTCTTTCTGGTGCCAACCTGTTCTATGACTGCAATTAGAAGGGATCAGTGGAGACTCAAACTGATAGTGAATTGTTGAAGACCCTAATATATATTGCAAAAGCATTGCCCTGACAGCAGAAGGTAACACAAGAGTTACACAAGTGCTTTTAGCCACTGGAGATAGATATTTGACATACTAACAAGATGACTTTAATACACAGTATAGAGCTATGGAAAAAGTGGTCAGTGTGTATCACAATGAAAAGCATATACTAAATTGGGACATATGACAACAACAAAAAAAGTGATGGACACCAGTTATTATTTTAGATAGGTGCATCAGGCACTTGGGATGAGAAAGATGAAATAAAACTGTGGTATGTGGCGGGGTTCTGGAGAAGACTACTGTGTATACTCATAGGGTAAGATGATAAAAATGTTTCACGTAACTGAGCTGGGAACATGGCATTCTAAGCCCCTCCTTCCCCTCAACTAATAATAAAATCTAGAACCAAAGGTGCCTTTGTTTCTTCCTAGTTCTCAGTCCTACTGTTTGAAGAGAAGGACCTGCTACAGCTGACACCAGCTGAAACAACAGAAATATTATGGGAGAGTGTCTCTTTTTGCCCCAGTGAAAGCTGGCTCAGCCACTAACAAAAAATACCAGACTATCAGGAATTCTTTCCTCCCCAAGCAGCACTCAGAAATGTCCAATACCATTCTAAAGAACAAGAGCTAATGATCCTATGTCATCTTCCTAGTAAAGAACAGTCAGGTGGTCCTTCTGCATCATTTGAACTACAAGCCTTGAGGGGAGGGGGGGGGTGGTACTGGTGGGAGAAGTAGCCATTCTGGAGACCAGCAGCTGTGACAGATAAAAATACGTAGAGAATGAAGAGTACAGAAGAACAGTGAAATATCAGATGGCCTGACTTCTCCTTGTCTAAGACTGCTCCACCCTACTTTAATTAAGCAATGAGAAAAACTCAGTGAGTAGCAATGGATTTAAACTTGGACTACAATACAGCATAAAATATTGAAAAATAATGTTACATAAGTGAATGTGCTTATCATGGTATTGTAGATGAGTCAACATATGACAGCAGACTGCAATTCATGAGCAGTTTTTGTCTGGGGTCTCATCAGAAGTACCCTGTGTCAGATTATTCCTATGCACTGGTAAAGAGCCTGTAAAATGGGAATAAAAAAAATAAATAAATAAAAGAAAGAATCAACTTTAGGATTCTTTCTTTAAAAGTTCTGATTATTTTGTGGGATTCAGAATTGCTGTGTGGTGCAGTACATCTCACAATCTTTAAGAAGACTCTTAGTTCAGGGCTTACTGGCAAGAAGATGAAAATTTTAGCAGCAAATCTAAGACCATCTTGAGCAAAAGCTAAGAATGTAGTACAGTAACCATCAGATTTGATTTGAAAAAATCATAATAATGACAAGCAGCTGTTATCAGATCTTAAAGAAAGGAGACTGTAATTTGCCAAGACCTACTCTTATCCCCAAATCCCCCACATCATAAACTATGCTAAATAAGAAAAAGAAAGCAGGCAACTAAACCAAGAAGGACCACAAAATGCTACTCATTGACTTTACCTGAAACAGTATTGACTCCTATGCCCAGACATGGAGGTCAAGCACATATTCCAAATAGACTTTGATATTTAGCGAATCACGGAGGAAGGAACTATTTTAAGAACAAGTGACCATGCGATTGGAAAGATGCTGAGAAACAGAAGTTGGTTGTGCCCAGTGAGTGCTTAACACTTTATCCATCTCTTTATTAATTAGCTTATATTCATTTGTGCTTGTGATTATTAAGATGCTTCATAATGCTATTTTTCCCTTAAAAAGAAACCTAGAACACAGTACCGGATTTCAGTGACAAGAATAATATCTTACAACTCTCATCCAGCTTCCAAGATGAATATGAAAGTAATACATTACTCTCCATCTGTATCACATTTTCTCAAGGAAAAAAATGTAAAATCAATAGAATAACCACACCAAACTAAAGAGCCTACATTATTACATAATGGTGCTTACAGCAGCACTATTAAAAAGGCTATTTTCCAATGTTTTCAAACGTCCATCTTTTATTATTTTATCTGGTTAAAGAAGAGGAAGCAGTTTACCTGGATATCACTCAGTTTATTCAGGAAACGGGTTGTTAACTGAGGTCCATTCTCCATAGTTGGAATGTGCAAGTGCTGACACAGAATAAAGAAGGGAGGGGAGGAAGAGAGAGAATAATATGTAAAAATAGTTTTACATATATATGAATACCCTAGGGTCACCAAGAATTTAAATAAAGGTCACTAATTTGAATAAATATTTATCAAGCTTTCCAGCCTTCCTTACAAGTAGGTAAGGGTTGTTGTAATGTTTTTCATAGGAGGGCATGCTGAACTAGTGATAACACAAATTAGTTGAATTGTTGTGTTGTTTTTAAATAAAGGCTAATCTAAGCTTTCCAGTAGATCTGTCCAAAATGGGGGGTACATTGTACAGGCAAGAGTAGTAACTCCATACACAGTATTTAATTTCAAAGTATATTATGTAGAAACACAACAGGTACATTTATAGTACTTACAACTAAGCGCCTTGATGTCTCTCATATCTTAGCACCTGATAATATCAATACATTTATTCCACCTTATTAATTCAAGAAGTATCATCTAATAGACATTTACTGTATTTCTCATGTTTAATGAACAAAGCACATCCATATATGCATCTGCAATAATTCAGCCTTCTGAACTAACTTTGTGCCGACTAAATAGCATTAAGTCAGCTTAACAGTCTGAATGCCTGTAGAATTCCACCTGTGCAGGAGAAATCTCCCATAAAAGAAGCTGTGTACTCTCCTAAACCTCCAGCTCTTCCATTAGAGCTGGGTTCCCTGCAATGATGGGTGAAGAAGAGATGAAGTTGAGAAGGAAAGAATGCAGTGGTTTAGAAATTTGGTTCCTTGTGAAAGTCACCTCTCCTCATTCTTCCCTTAGCTTTGAAAATAGAAGAAACAAGGGAGAATGTATTTTTCTGTATTTTCAAACAGGCTTGGAGCTGGGAACTTCTCCTCATCCAAAAAAAAAAAAAACCCTAAAAAATAAAAAATTAACTCTTGAAAATACCCTAGAAGACAAGAGGGAAGGTTCTCTTCTGATAACATAGCAGTAACTCATTTGGGAAACAAAATACTGACACTGTTCATCTTTCCAGGAGCTTCTGGCAACATTCCTTTTCTCTCTGTTTTTTAATTAAGCTGCAGTTAATTATGATAAAATTCTGAAGAAGGAGAGGAGAGGCAGGAGCTGGGAGCAGAGAGAAGGAAGGAAAGGAAAAGGTAAAAGAAGAGGGGTGGAACACATTTTCTTACCTTGCCTTTATATAAAATTTTAGAGATAGGACATACTACACAGGCTGTTCCAGCACCAAACATCTCCTTTACTCTGTCCTCTTCCAAGGCAGCTGTCAAGTCACTCATAGTGATATATCGTTCGGACACTTTGAATTCTCCCTGCATGAGAAGAATCAACCATAAAAATTGTAAAACTTTACAAATGGTTTATACTTTTGTTTTCCATTTTAAAACATCTCTAATAGGATTATTAGCCTAGTGGCAATCAGTCAAGTTTTGGCTATGATCCTGTGATCTTTTCAAACCTTCCAGTATCACATAAGATAGATTCTAGTCGAAACAATTACCTTTGAGGAAGCCAGTGCTTTGCCAGATATAATGCTGATGAGTAAGTGGCACTCCCCTCTGATTTGGTACAGAATATCAATATTGCATTAAGGCATAACACAGCAGAATCTGTCATGGTTTATGTGACACAGGATCTGACTACTTATGGGCTCAAGCATGCTAGAGTTCATGCAAAAATTACTCAATTATGTCAAAAGAGCTTTGAGCCCACTCCCAAATAATTCCTAAGCAACATACATTCTGTTAACTCCACCTCCAATGCCAACCACATGTGACAGATTTCTTTAATCCCTGGTAAAATTTCACACTGTAGCCTGCACACAACTGTCACATAAAAAAAATACTGTACTACAGGTATGAGTAAAGCAATTCACACTGGACAGTCTCAACATAAGTTGTGTTTTACCTTCTGCAAGTGTTAAAGAATGCATAGCAACTGATTGAGGGGTTGTGTTTAAAGAACAGAAATAAACATCAAACTTTGAAATGTTCATTTCATGGATTTATGTGGACTTTATTGTTGCATTAGACCAAATTAAAGCTTAGCCATTGTTTCATATCCAAGTTCTTTAACATGAAACAGATGCTTTTGATAAAAAACACGATTAGCTCTAGACAGGATAGTATTTGGAGAGAAGAACAGAAACACCACATAAGGAGAGTTTCAGACAGGTTAGGGAATGGAGGTCAGGAAAGACGAGAACAACCTTCGTGAAGCAGAAGACACATAATTATTCAAGAAGACTTGAGAGTCTGGTATCTCAAGCCCTATCAACTGGGTATACCTATCTTGTAGAGGAGATGAGACTGAGAAGCGTGCATGTGTATCTGCACTTGGGGTGTTCCAATATGAATAAAGATGTGTAAGAGTTCAGTGCAGGTCAACAAGTGGCACATATGTGCTACAAAGTACATGCCTATCTCTCTTCACTGCAAGTTAGATGTAAGTGATACATCAACTGTACTTCAGGAAGTCTTTCAGCTACAGGTGGTTAGAAGCGGAATTAGTATCAGGGGAAAAGGGCCAAAACCAAGAGACAGGATACTGGGCTTGATAGGCCTTTGGATCTATAGTATTCTTATTCAGGCCACAGTAAAACCTCTGAATACAGTACAGGCAGAATGGACAGACAGTCTGCTGCATTTCAAGGTACGAGGTAGTCCCAAGTGTCCAAGTAAGTTCTTGAATGGCTACATGACAGAACTGGAATCTGGAAGCAGGCAGATTACTTCAAAACTGTGGATGGATTGTAGGCTGCATGCTAGTTATTAGAAATAAGGGTGAAACCATGAGAACTAGATGGAGAAAGAGTGTGCTGATGACTGAAGTATGGCTGTAGTCATGCATGGTAATTGTTTCCTTGATTTAAGTTGCTTGACCAGAGGATTTGATGAGAATTTTCATGTTAAATACTACACGGGGATACTTTAACAAGCTTGGTATTGTTCTGTGTGACAGATGTGGGTATTCTAATGATGTTGCTGGAAATCTGAATTAGCATGCTCTTAGTTCCCACGCAGGTTAAGGGATTTCAGTACTTACAGGGGCTTACAAGAAAGATAGAGACAAATTTTTGTCAGAGCCTGTTGCAATAGGACAAGGGGTAATGGTTTTAAACTAAAAGAGAGTAGATTCAGTCTAGATAATATTTTCTTTTTTTACAATGAGAGTGGTGAAACAATGGAACAGGTTGCCCAGAGAGGTGGAAAATGCCCCATCCCTCCCTGGAAAACCATTGATGGTCAAGCTGGATGGCACTTTGAGCAACATGATCTAGTTGAAGATGTCCTTGCTCACTGCAGCTGGAGTTGGTCTAGGTGACCTTTAAGATCCCTTCCAACCCAAAATATTCTATGATTTGACCAGATCAGCTGAACTTCAAAATACTGAGCACCAAGAATGCTTACTTTCATCAATGTTGTAACATGATAGTTGAAACTATCAGTGCCAGGGTCAAAACACTCACCCAATTGTGTGCCAGATCCAAAATACTTTGTCTTGTCACTCCTGGAAGGATGATGCCATCTAAAGGTGGGGTTGCCAGTTCATTTTCTGTCAAACACAAATGAAATGGAAATACTGGTTGAAAAACAAAGAAACAGAAAAATTTACTGATATTACATCATTAATTAACGCACTTACGAATAAGGGGTTCAGTATCCCTACTTTGTAGCATTAATACGAAACATCTACCAGAAATTTTAAGGCCCATTTACTGAAAGAGCAAAACAGTGGAAACCTTGCCAAATGTATCACGAGAGGAGGCTTCCTTAATGATCTATTGTCTTGGCCTAGACTTCCTTTTTCCCAGTAATTTTCTCTTTATGCAAAAAGAGCAGTCCTAATAAAATTCCAAGTGCCAATAATTCAAACTGTTCAAATATTGTGGTCTGTTACCTTGTTCTTGTTTGCTTTTGAAAAAAGGTTGTTAGGTAAATATTCATCTAACTAGTGAAATGGTAGATAAATGGTAATCCGTACATGGTAAGTACTTAAATTACAACAGAGATGTTTGTATGTAGTGTTCGTTCTTCCATCTGACCTTTGCAACAAATCAAAGCTAATCTTTTTCATTTTAAGCCATTACATACCACGCATTCAGTGTTTCTATTATCAGAGGATACTGAGCATTTACTCTTTCAGATAGCCAGGTTCTTTTAAGACAGTCTCAATTCTTCACTAAGAAATTATGACATCCACAGTCTTTCAGAATTACTCTTCATATTTTTTCCTAACCATTGTCTCTTCTCAATGAGAATCCATTACCTTTCTTCATCTTATAAAGATACTACCCTGTCCATTAAATCCACAAACCATTAAGGTTTTTGATTCTTTTATACCAGGCCACATAAAAGAAGATACATATTTTCATGTTTTTATTACATTGCCCCTTATGACCTGCAAAAGATCAGTGAATCCAGGCCTGTTTGAATCAGTCTCAAAGGCAAAACTGTGTTAAAAAATGTTCCTATAGGTCGTGTGGAAACTTGCAGCTGAGTACAAGAGAGAATCATGGTATTCACCCTTGGGCTGAGATAGCAGGTTGAGCTCAGCTGCTTAATGCTCTGTTGACAGCTAGATAGTCCTGCACACAAACACAGTCTGCCAGCCAGCACATACACAGCTCCAGACAGACTACAGCATCACTCTGCAAGAGGGGGCTTTAGGAGTTGGGGTGGGGTAGTGAAAACGGAGGATAAATAAATTGAACTGTTCATTGAATCTGCTACTCACTGTCCATTCTCTCTGGAAATGTCTGTTATTAATACAGCCACCCCTGGAATTATTCATTTGGACTTGAAGTTTTTCCTACCTATGCCCCATGTTCCTTTTACGAGGATGCCAAAACGTATATAAAAAAAGGCTGCCCTAGAATGCTCTATATGTTTTGCTTTGGTTTGACTAACCAATAGTGTGATTCCCTGACCTATCCCAGACTCCTACCCACAGCAGTGGTCTCTTCTTTCTCATACAGTCAGGAACAGTAAGCTTTCTTGAAGTCTGTCTAGCATCACTCCTAACATGATGTGTGTCTGGTCCCAATTCTGCACAACTACCATAAGAAAGAGGATTTAAAAACCTTCCATGAGCCGCAGGGGTCACCTGAATCTGAACACTGAAGACCTGATACTCTGCATTTGTGACCCAGTCACATACAAATGCATCCCTTTCTTAAACAGAAAACTTCAAATAATGCATACCTTAATATCAGATTTTGACTACACACCAGCTAATGTTCTCTATTGTGTGATATTGCCACAGATCTTGGCCAGAACCTGTTCGAGCTGATTAACATATATTAATTGATTTGAGCTAGTTTGAAAAGGTGCCAGGCTAAACCAGCCACCAAACAGCACTTGAGTAGAGAGGATGTTGGGCATCTCAAAATGTTTCAAACAGCCTGATCTGTAGAATTCTGTCAACTATACATATGAGGCCTACCAGCCTGAGGCCACCCAAAGAACATCTGCTGCCCTGGTATCCGGCAGAGATGATAATGCTATACAACAAAGCATGCCAAAAACACTCATCCTCTCTGTGAATTGATGCCAAACCAGTCTCTATATGGCATCAGTTTGTCCATCTCTAAAAAAACCCAAACCAACCCAGACTGAGCTCACAGACTCCATTTGCCTTCTGAATAATTTTCATGTGCTAGAAGCCTTAAAATGTATAGTAACAAAAGGGGGGAAAGGCATTTGAAGAAAATGTCAGGGCTTCTCTTCAGTTGACTGCTGTTATTGCTACAATAGTAGCACTATAAGTCCAGTGTCCCATTAAACCAGGCATGGTATAGGCATGCTGTAACAATGGTACTCCATCAGTGTTTAAAGGGATTTTTAAAATGAGGTCTTCAATATTACACAGCTTCAATTTTTACACACCTGTATTTATGAACATATAGCAGATAAGACTCCAAGTATGGGATGCCTTCAGTACTATTCACACTGAAATAATGCTGAGAAATACACCAAAATACATTTTAACAGAAGGGAACTTCAGAGTCAAGGAGAACCCAGGAAGCCTTCGCTTCAGGATTATTAACACTGACTTTCTCTTCCAGTTTGTTCTGTTTCTATTCCTTTCTCCTTATTCCCCTCAGGCTTTTCTTCTACTCTCCCCTCATGCAATCACCCTTTGTGTCTCTGTCAATTTACTTTCCTCAATTACTTTCTCCTCCTTTTCTTTGCCTGTCATCTCATTCATTTGATGCTCTACCCTCCTTGCTATTGTTATGGCTTTCTATTAGACCAGAAGGTATGATCCTTAATTTGCTAGTAGCCTTCTTGTAAAAGGTAATTGTGAAGCACAAATAATCCTCCACATCAAGCTTGCCTGATGCTTTACCTGCCTGTTCTACCAAAAAAAAAAAAAATATATATATATATATATATCAATTTATGTGAGCTATTTTGAAGTGGGCACTATTAATCCCAACTTTAATAACAGCACAAAAATATTAAGCAATGCCTGAATGCTATTCACAATGCCTTAACATTAAAGCTAGAAGTAGAACCCAGGTGGTTCCAAATCATTCTGAAGAAAGTGAATTTTTGGAAAGTACACACAGATTTCATAGTTAGCAACCTTCAAGTTGGACATATGTTTAAATTTTAAGGTTTTCCATGATGTCAAGACTATATTCTAAGCAAAAGAACAGGCATTATTAAATGAAATCAGTTTCAATGTCAACAGCTGATGTGCTCTGAAGAGGCAGGTGGAAGGGACTGCAGGGTGACCAAAATTTTCACTTTGTTAACATAAACCATAAACAGTGTTTGATGACTAAAATATCACACTCCTAAATTTATGCCAGAGCAGCAGTGGCGATACAAAAGCAGCGGAGAATATGTCATATTATTTTACCAGAAATTGAGAAGTTTCTTCCCCTACTGCCTCCTTGATGTTAAAAACATTTTTCCAAGCTCCTGCTGATGCCCAAGACAACATGTCATGTTTAATCACAGTGCTGTAACTCAAAATACATAGCAAAGGCTTGCAAGAAAAGCCTGATCTCACTGGAAGCACAGATGTCCTTTAGTCTAGGCTTTGGTCTTTGATTTGTTATAAACCAAGGAGAGCAGTTAAGACTACTCTGCAGTGACCTCTGAATACACAAAGAAGGGCATTTTCCTTTTGATGATGATCTGTAATTTCTGCCTCACTATTTTTATGCTAGATCCCTCTCTCAGCTGCAGAATTTGCATAACAAAACAAAACCACATTTTAAGTAAGTATCTTTTGTGAAGTGACAGAACATAATGGCAAACGCAGATCACAATGTAATGCCATAGAGAGGTGTGTGATGACACCCTTTGGTAGCATTTCTTAATCAAAGATATCATAAATTAAGCATTAATCAACACATCAGGGGACAGCAAAATGCTCCAATGATGCTAATGACCACATCGTGTGGAATGGCAGGTGTGCCAGTATACAGTTAGCTTGGGTGGCATGAATTACAAGTTGTTTGCTATGGCCACCTCACAATAGTACTATTCAGTAGTGCACTGGTCACGTAGTGATTGGCAGATCTTTGAAACAGTACTGTGCTGCAGCTGGATAATTCCAGCATATTCCTGGTTTAAGTACAATGAGAACATTGAATTCTAATTATGTCCCCCCTTCAGTGTCCTTTCCCTGAGCAGAATGAGCCAAAATCTATTTTTGTGTCTTTCCAGAGAAGTTATACAAGAATGAATGGCCATCTAACTATGCTGACAAATCTACTGCTGCTGTAACAACAACATTTCTCATATTTACAGTTTCATTCACAAGACATCACAGACTCATTCAACACTGAATGAGTGTCATTCCTCTTACAAAAGTAGTAATGATTTTGCAGAAAAACAAGTAATGTAACTGGAAATGAAAGTTGGGTAGCTGGATTCCCATTAGCTACACTATCAAAAGCATACTTCTGTCCCCAGAGAATGTTGCCTCTGTACTGCAGCTGAGAAGTGCCAGGAAAATGTCAGTGTTCAAAGGTACCCATGGCACTATGATGAAGTTGGAGTCCGAACCCTACATGTGCTGCCATGCAAAAATTCAGTAACACTTAACTTGCACAGAAGACCAGCATTCATGGAAGTCAGATGTCCTTTTATTCACTTGCCTATACAGTGGTTCAATCCTTTAAGGAGCTAGAGTCATGTAATCCACTGAATCAGTTCTCAGGTGCTGTCGACGCGAGAGTCACAGACAATGCAGAGATGATCAATGTGATCAGTGATTGCCAATTTATTACAAGGCTTTAACTCCTTATATACCATTTCTTACAGGTACTTACAGTGATTTGGCATATTATGATTGGATACATGTCTTGAAGACCCTTAGCGACTAGCATATAATTGGTTAAGCACAGGTGTGAGAACTTGACCTCAAAAGCTTGCCAACAGCCCACAGTTCTCATAACTCAGTGAATTACAGCTTCTTCTTATCTTGCTTGCTTAAGCTTCCTCGGGCCTCTCACAGCCTTGCTGTATCTTTCAGGATTATTCGGAGTTTATGTACCAATTATCCATTCTCCTGTGAGAACACTGTCTCCACAAGGTGCAGCTAACACTTCTCAAGCTCTGAGTACTTGCATGCCTAATATCTATTTCTGAGATGTCTAGTTGGCTGTTCATTAACTAGATAGCTTTCTAATCAGCATATACGTTGCTCAGAGATGACTATGGGTACAAATTGGTAAAAATGGCTTCAAGAACGATGGTATATCTTGAAAGCATCTTTCCAGCATTAGTGATGTGGGATGCCGACTGACATGTTTCTCTCTCTCTGCCTCCACTGGACAGAACTTCAAAATTCTTCAGAGACAATTTCTTCATCAGTTGGATGGCAAAATACTTTTGGCTATCCTTTAGGAATATTTGACTTGTCAGAAAGTGATAATGGGAACCACTCATGCCCAAAGTCACATAGTTTAGAGTTATATGGCCATAAGGTGTCTTTAGTATGTCCCCATATTTTTCAGACCAAATACCTCCTTCAAGATAAAGCATGCTGCTAGAGTTGACACAAAGCCTTCAGTGTGACCTGGCTACGCTCTACCCTTACGAGCATGTGGACTGACCCAACAGTTTAGGATGTTAGTAGGTAGTACTCACAGCTACTCCAGAATCTCCTCTTTCACAATAGTATAACTTAGTTATCTACTAGTTTTCAGAAAAAAATAGACATTTCCTTTAATAAATCATCTTTATTTATGATCTGCCCTTTTATATAGTTTATTTTGTGTATTAAAGTCCCAACTGTTCTACTTAGAATGGTTTGTGTTACTATACCTCCATCTTCATTTATCCAGTAGAGAAACAGATTCATTGTTCCAACTTCAGTTATTTGATGATCTTCTCCATAGAGCCACAAAACCTGCTGGCAGCCAAATTCCAGGGCTTCTTGCTGGGCATAAATAGAAGAACCATAATTCCTTCCAGAAACAAAAAGAAAGAGCAAACAGTTATAAGTATCTAGTTGGGTATTTTCTCATTTATGTACAAGGTTTTGTGCACATTTACCTTATGAGCTAGTGCTCTGCACAGTCACTGCTTGTCCCTGGAATATTTTAATTGGAAGTATTCTACTAATGTTTTCCTAGATTATTTGTAGCTACAACCCCAAAACTTCCCATCCAGTTCATGTGGGGTTTTTTGGTTGGTTTTTTTTTTAACAAAAGCAAAACAAAACAAAACAAAACCAACCAAACAAAAAACATCTACCTTATCTCACATATGTCAGATGAACCTCTTGAAATAGAAAAATCACCAGAGGCAAGTTATTTCTTTTCTAGTAAAAGACGTTCACAGAACTAGTAGCTTCATGAGCTGCAGACAGGCCTCAAATTCCATATCCTCAAGAAGCAACTGTCTTCTCAAAATGCTGCCTACAGCGAACCTGACTACTGAGCTACTCCATACATAGCTGCTTTGAGGGAGGGAAAAAATTCTTTACAGTTTCTGATGTTACCATCAAGACCTAAACTTAGCAGCCCAAAGTGCTGACCACACTGGAGTTACATTTTCACCTTTGGGCACATATCAAGTCAGTAGTGATCCCAGACTATACCCTTTTGTTCACAGCTGACATATGAAGGATGCATAGGTACAATTAACGTATTTGTAAAACCAAACAAAACCAAACAAAACCTATAGTTCTCAGAACATAGGACTGAATGAAGGAAAGCTGTTGAGCAGCATTTGACAGCTACTAACTTCCTGCCTAGAAAAGAAACTCCCAGGTAGAGGCAATAAGCTTTGTTTAAACCAAAGACCAAGGACATATAATAGAGTAATTTATTTATCCACTTCCAAGTTGCTTGCTCCAGTCCAGTCCTACACAGTTTCAACTCTGCAAGTCAAGTACTTGGACATTAACAATAATGTGTCTACCTAGCTGGTGCTTTGGCCTAGTTCAGCAGAAAACTGCCAGATGATGGGCAAGTCGATGCAGGTAATTGTCCCATGCTTTTCTTTAAACACCTGTACTCCCCTAGTTAACTGCAGATGGCTTGTTGGGACAGCCTGCCAAAGGAGGAGCTCAGCAGTCAATGCCGCTCACTGCCCAGTTGGCAGAAGGCTACTACACTGAATGCTGCATCACAGCAGTCATATCTCTAGTGTCAACTTCTGCAGGGGGAACAGCCAAAATATTACATGGACACCTTCCAGGTCTAGTATCTCAGCCTGAGATGCTGCAAAATTATCTCTGCAAGTGATCCACTTGACTGTAATATGCAAATAAAAATATGCAACTGAATTGTATACATAATATTTGTGAAGTACAATTTTGAAATCTGTGTTAAATTGTTTGTTTCACTGCTACATTTAATACCTCCATTTCTGCTGGATTAGATACTTCACTAAAAACCAAACCTCCTCTGTAAGCTATGTAGAAGATGTAGAATTATGTTTTCTTACGCTCCTAGTTTGCAGTCCCCCGTTCCTCCTTTCCAGGCTCTTACATATTTTGGATCTGCCCATAAGGATATGGGATTAAAGCTTCCACTTGCAAAGTAAGGGCCCACAGGGCTCAGTATGACATACAGTAGGGCTTTAGTTGGCTTCTTCACTCCAAGGGAAGGCTGAAAAAAGGAAATGTAAAAATAATTAAAACTAACTAACATCAGATACTACACAATTAGCTTTTGAACACTGCTTTCAGATGAACTGCAGCACAAGAGTGCTTTTACCAGGACAATGCAAAGTGATGCAAAGAAGACAAAATATTTATACAACTTCCCCCCTAACGAGAGCAATGTACTACCCTAATTTTATATACTGTCACCATTTATTTACGGCTGCTTCATTTATATTATTCTAACCTTCACAAGTATTTGTGAAGCAAACCGTATCGTGGGCTGCATTAAAAGGAGTGTGACCAGCACGTCGAAGGAGGTGATCCTGATCCTCTACTCTGCTCTTGTGAGGCCTCACACTTGAAGTACTGTGCACAGTTCTGGTGTCCTGAGCATAAGAAGAACATGAAGCTGTTGGAACAAGTCCAGAGGAGGGCCACAGGGATGATCAGGGGACTGGAGCACCTCGTGTATGAAGAATAGTTAGGGTTGGAAAGGACATAAGATCAACTAGTTCCAACCCCCCTGCCATGGGAAGAGACAGCTCACACTAAACCATATCACCCAAGGCTCTGTCCAGCCTGGCCTTGAACACCGCCAGGGATGGAGCATTCACAACTTCCCTGGGCAACCCATTCCAGTGCCTCACCTCCCTAACAGGAAAGAACCTCCTCCTTATATCCAATCTAAATTTCTCCTGTTGAAGTTTTAACCTGTTACCCCTTGTCCTGTCACTACAGTCCTAACGAAGAGTCCCCCCTAGCATCCTTATAGGCCCCCTTCAGATACTGGAGGGCTGCTATGAGGTCTCCACGCAGCCTTCTCTTCTCCAGGCTGAACAGCCCCAACTTTCGCAGCCTATCTTCATATGGGAGGTGCTCCAGCCCCCAATCATCCTCGGGGCCCTCCTCTGGACTTGTTCCAACAGCTCCATGTCCTTTTTATGTTGAGGACTGCACACAATATTCCAAGTGAGGTCTCAGGAGAGCAGGGTAGAGGGGCAGGATCACCTCCTTCTACCTGCTGGTCACACTCTTTTTGATGCAGCCCAGGTTGCGGTTGGCTTTCTGGGCTGCAAGCACACACTGCCAGCTCATGTTAAGTTTCTCATACTTCTCCACAGGGCTGCTCTGAATCTCTTCTCTGCCCAGTCTGTAGCTGTGCCTGCGATTGCTCCGACCCAGGGGTAGGACCTTGCACTTGGCATGGTTAACCTTCATGAGGCTGGCATCAGCCCACCTCACAAGCGTGTCAAGGTCCCTTTGGATGGCATTCCTTCACTCCAGCATGTCAACCAAACCACACAGCTTGGTGTCATCGGCAAACTTCGTGAGGGTGCACTCAATCCCACTGTGCATGTCACCAACAAAGATGTTGAACAAGACCCGTCCCAACACCAGTCCCTTAGGGACACCACTCGTTACTGGTCTCCAGCTGGGTATTGAGCCACTGACCACAACTCTTTGCGTGCGGCCATCCAGCCAGTTCTTTATCCACTGAGTGGTCCACCTATCAATTTGATGTCTCTCCAATTTAGAGACAAGGATGTCATGTGGGACAGCGTCAAACGCTTTACACAAGTCCAGATAGATGACGTCAACTGCTCTACCCCTGTCCGTCAGTTCCTTAGCCCCATCATAGAGGGCCACCAAATTGTTCAGGCAGGATTTCCTCTTAGTGAAGCCATGTATGGTGCCTACTTACAGATGTGGATACTGCAGAAGAGTAACTGGCCTAGTTGGGAAACCATACATTCTTTATCTTTCTTGTTCTATGCTCTACCATTATAGGCTTCTCTCTTACCACAGTGAAAAAACACTAATCTTAAAGTTTTAATTAAAATGATCTCCCTATTTCTAATTCCCTTCATAAATACTATAGGCTTGACTCACACTCATGTGAAACTCGGTAATACCTAGTTGCTAAGGAGTCTCGTGCAAGGTTGAGTTTATCTGGGTTCAAGAATAAACTGACACAAGAGATTGTTTTTTGTTCTGTTAAGAGTGTCTCTCAGAAAGGCCATCTTAATTTACTGCGTAGAATCTTCCAAAATCTCCTCATTGAAGTAAGGATGGAAATACAAATTGAAATCACAAAATTACACAACAAATTTCTGTTCCCTCACAATTTCTTTAGATTATTAGTATTTTAAAGGCATACGTTACCGTGTGACAAATAACTGTCCTTCTAGTACAAACCCAAAGTTAATCTAGATTTTGCCGTTGCCACTCAGAACAGTTAATAGTTTACTTTCTGAGACCTAAACCAATATGTCCACTAGGTGGTGGTGTGGTCAACATAAATTTGCAAAGTAGACCTGCAGATGACTAACCTGGAAGTAAAAACATAAAACCGATTTGCCCCTGAACTGTAATACTGTTGTCTAGTGACTGCTGTATATTTCCCTTTATGGATGGAAGCTTTTCCTTTATGCTTAAGTACCCAAAATTTATGAGAGGAAAGAGAAATGGTTTTTACCTCAGTTCCAATTAAGGTAGGACGGATGTAAAGGCTGGCAGTGGTTGAGTATGGGACCCACTCCTTTTCCACTTCCACAAGCTTCCGGATGCACTCTAGAAGCTCATTCTGGTCAAAATGCTGGGAAGGAAGAGCAAAGGGTGAAAAGCAAATGGAGAAATACAGCCTAAACACTCTGTGGTCTTTATAGATCCATATGCTAAGAGGAACACTTCATCAGGGTAAGTAACAGAGACAGCCCATAGAGGTTCATGGGACTACACTATCTTCCTGGACTTCATTTCTCACAGAATTCAAAATTCCCATGGTTTTTGCTACTGTGCCTTCTCTTGCAGTATCCTGGATGCATTCATCTGCAACAAAGTATCCTTCTAAGATAGCAAAAAGGAGCCACTGACTCTTGCCTCCAAAGCACATGGAAAGAACAGCCTGTGCACCCAGCACCTTCATTTTAGCACACTGCAAGCTATGCCACCACCTCTTCCACAGAAAGAGTGATTTGTGTTATAAAACTGAGGGACCCATCAAGTCCCCCAGTTTCATGAAATTGCATTTTTTTTACAGTAATAAAGCTAATAAGCATGGGAGGAGATTCACGGGTCAATATCCACTTGTTAAAAGCCACATTAAGTTGCTAGCGTGGCCAAAACGGAAGGCACTCAGAGGCTGAAGGACTTAACTGAAGTAGAAAGAAGAAAAGGAAGAACATTAGTGCCAGAACAACTTGATCAGCTCTCTGCATGCAAATATCTGCAGAACAGCTCTTATCCCTCAGAACTAGACTGTGTACATTTGAAGCAGTAGAGAGACAATGAAGAAAGCAAAATACTGTGGTGATTTAAAGGAAAAATGTATTTTGAACGGTTCACTGAGTAAGTTCTCTGTAACAGAGTTTAACTGAACTATTCAAGAGTTAGAGTGTTTGATAAACGTTACAATACTGTAAAGTTTCAGAAATTTGCATTTTGAAAATGAAAATATGCTCTGACTTAAGAAGAACATGATGCCTTAACTACATACCGGCAGAGTTGCTCGTCTTGCTGATCGTGCCATCCTCTCCATGTTGAGGGTTGGCCGGAACAGGCGGATTTTGCCATCCACTCCTCGGTAAGCTTTCATTCCTTCAAACAACTACCAAACCAAAAAGGAGGAAAAAGAAAGCAAATAATAATTGAGACATTTTATCTCCTGATGATCTGTGCAAAAGCAACAAACATGCTTTGGAAATCAAAGAACTACACAGTACTCAAGGCGTAAGTGCCAACTAGTTAATGGTTGGAACATACTCCTTTGAGGTAGTTTTATGACATTTATATTGCAAAGGTGACCTGCCTATGCTTCAGATAAATCTTTATCTGTCAGAGGACTTAACAACAACCATTTTTTTCACAACTTGGTTACAGCAATTAAAATTTGTAGCATGTGTTTCAATTAACTATTCACTCACATCCTGACTGATACATAAGGCTGAGCTAAATCAGTATTCTCCCTTAAGGGAAAGATCCATAGAATTTAATTATATATGTTAAACATTTTTATGGCTCTGTCAAAAATTCATTTTGGTAGGAAGCATGGAATGAGGCAATTAAGGGAACTCTGTTGCAGTTCTTGTTGTAGTTGCAGCAAAATCTTGGTCGCTTAGTTCCCCCATACAACCCTATGCTGTGGAAAGGGGTTTAACTAGCATGAGAGACAGAGGCATCAGCCTTACACTAGAGGGAGAATGCATGAAAATGTTTCGCCTATACTTAACAGGAAACTTAAATTAGCTATAGCTATCCCATCAAACTGCACAATCCAGATGACTGGTGTTGACAATCGAATTACCAAAACCATTATTCTATCAGTGCCCTACCAGCAGAATGTTCTACAGCATCTCCTAAGCACAGCAAACAATATACCCACAAAATATCCACAGTTATTTTCAGTTACAGATTGGTAATTTCTAGTTATAGTCAGTAAACAACAATTTTGTATACATAATTATATAAAATTAAATTTAAAAACCTATTTATTATGTAAGCTCACATCAATATATAAATATATACAGGTATTTAGATTAAGTATTAAAGGATCACTCATGTAAATAGACAAGAATTTTAGAATTTATCTTTTAAAGCATTTCTTTGTACATTAAATTTCAGTACAAGTTCTATGAATTTAACTGCATCACTTCTTTCAGTCTCCTCAGACTTCTCCTCCTGACTGCTCCACACAAAATGTCTGGAAGTACATTTTTTTGCAGTTGAAGTCTACATATGCAGGGGTTTTATATTTGGAAAAAAAGAATCTTGCATTTGTGTGTAAGTAATTTTAGTAGAATACTCAAGGTTTGATTATTATTAAATTCTGTAACATTTCCCCAGAAGGATCAATGAATTGCAATGTCTAGAAAAGTTTTGTGAGGTCCCATGATAGAGCTAGGTCCTTCCACATGACAAATTTTAACTGGTTTGTAACTGGGTTGCAGGAATCCCAACAATATTCCTTTGGCTATATGCTAACTATGTAGCAGAACCAGAATTAGAACCCAGAACATTTTGCCTTCAAAATTTATCTTATTCCTATGGCAATACCAACCTTATTAAAAGGTTTGTGTGCAGTTTTGAAAAAGAAACAGTTCCTGGGACAGATGTTGTAGCTATAAGAAACATTTTTAATAAAGGGTGGCACAGCTGGTTATATGGTGATACTTTGATATGATTTTTATTGAGCCAGTTACTAGCTAATACCACAGTGCTATAATGCTACTATCTTATCACAGAACAGTTGTTTCCCCCCACCCTTCTCCCCAACACACTCACAGAATTTTTAATGAGAGGGAAAAGAAAGGAATGTTGCTACTAAGATCTGATCAATGGTTTGAGAGAAGTAAGAATCACATCATTACTGAAACACAAAGCCTTCTCAAGCTGTTAAATCTTTTTCTCCAAAGAGAAATACTTAACTTTCCAGAGCTCAGTAAAACCTTTCACTCATTCAAAAGGGAGACAGTGATGTGTTCCAGAAATGCTCACATGAATTAAAGCAACTGCTGTGGTTGCTTGATGGCTGGTTGCTGCAGTGGTGTGCAAACAGTATTATCTGACATCTGTACATCACAGGATCTGGAGTTCTGCAGATCCAGACTACCACACAGCATCATGGAGGGCAAGGAGAAAGGGGAGGGAATGCCAAATTCATCATGTTTATTATACCCACTGTGTATTCATTGAGCCACAGCATTGGCACCAGATTCTCCTCTGTCTGTCCTCTTGGCTAGAGGAATCGTGATGCAATAAGGGTAAAAGAATAAAAATATGGAGGGGGAAAAAAAAAAAAGAAGAGCATATTCATATTAGCAATAACTTCAGACTAGGCCAGAGGCTGAGCATTAAAGCAATATGCTACTAAGAGTGAAATATAGATCCAGGACTCCAGCGTGGTTTCTTAATTCTTGGGCAGATCAAGAGCTGCAGCATTAGTCACAGGGGCCTGTTGTAATTTACAGAGGACCTTTGGAGGCCCAGTGACTAGATGAGGAAAAAACAGCAACAACAAAAAATGGTGAAGGCAGGAGCTCAAGGACAACAAGCAAGGAAAAGCTGAAAAGCTTGATCCTTCCTTTATGCTAGTAGTTTAAAAAAAAAAAAAAAAAAAAGAAGAGAAGAAATGGACAAAGAAATAATAAAAGAAGCATAAGCAACTCCACTAACTTCAGTGGAGACACTCCCACCTACCCAGAAGTGGGAGGAGAAACAGTTTTCCATTTCACCATATGTGCCCTGCTGAGGCTTTCACACAAATGTGAGTATAGCCGAAGCTGCTCTGGAAACACAAAAGCCAGCTTTAGCCAGTAAGCAGCTAAGCAAGGAAACTGTTAACCACGCTGGTTTCCAACTTAACATTTCACTTTCCAAACTTCCTTGCTCTATGTTTTCTGCTTAAATGCACTTGTATATGCTGAATAAATCAGATCTAGTTTGGAGCTCGTCAGAATTGCCTGGAGTTGAAAACAAATATCTATCTAGTCTGTTCTGCAATCCAAGATATGAACCTTTAAAACAGCTTGAAATAGGCTCTCACAAAGTGCATGTTCAGTCTCCAAATTAAAGTTACTCTTGGAATTTCAGAGTTTTATCCAGTGCTTCATTAAGTTACAGTAACTGGATAGTAACTGTCAGTGAACTAGAACACTTTTTCAAATGAATTTGTCATCACACAAGCATTACAGAATAACAGAATGGTTTGGGTTGGAAAAGACCTTAAGGTCATCTAGTTCCAACCCCACGGCAGTGATGCCTCCCACTAGACCATGTTACCCAAGGCTCTGTCCAGCATGGCCTTGAACGCTGCCAGGGATGGAGCATTTATCATTTTTTTGGGCAACCTGTTCCAGTGCCTCACTACCCTTACATTAGAGAGCTTCTTCCTTATATCTTATCTGAAATTCCCCCGCTTAAGTTTAACCCCGTTATCCCTTGTCCTAGCACTACAGCCCCTGATGAAGAAAGGGTCACCTTCACTGGTCTAGAAAGTTAAGTGAACTGGAATCCACAGGTCAGAGTTCCTTCTGAGTTATACTAACATAAATATAATCTTGTAAACAATGGAATTATTCTGGAAGGACATCAGCTATCAAAACAAAATGTAACTCAGTACTAATGAACTGCAGACAGTAACAGTCCATGTATTACAAAGGTATGGTTTCAAAAGCTAATGAAACAGAACAGTTTCCAAATAATTCATTACTCACTTCTACAGCATAATGCAGAGATGAGGAAGCTGGATGCAATGAAAGGTTCTCAAGTGGCTTAATATAAGGTTTCTCCCATCCTGAAGCCAAGGACCATTCAATTATCAGCATATTATCAGTGAACACAGTTCCAAACACCAAACCATTGGGGTCTGGTTTTTCCTTCAAAGTCGTAGCTGGGGTGATAATCAAGTCTGAAGCCTGAAAGAATATGAAGACAAAAATGAAGTGTATAAAAATGATCAACTCAGACTGATTTAAAAGTTATTCTCCATTAGTGAACATGGACAAATGTGATATTTTATCCGTGAGGACATTTAATAACAGAATGCTTAAAGGCAGCTAACCTCTAAGTAGCTGGCAAAGTCCTCATACTGTGTATGCACACATATACACAGTGCTGCTTATACCAGAAGTACTTGGCATATTTTGAAGAACCGTTAAGTGGAGGAAGCAGTACAAAGTGTAAAACCAGAAAATCAGCAGATGAAAATTTCTTGGACACTCAGATTAACATATGCGTACAAGGTCCAGAAATGCTCAATTGCTGTATCTCAGAACATAAACTGATCATCAGAAATTAATCCCTCTCACAGCTAACTAGATACATTATGCTGATTTGCCTTCAATCCATAACACCAATGTGAGAGATCAGAGCCTGCAGTCAGCAGATTACTTGGGTCACACCAGCTTGTTCATTCACATCCATATTTTCTTAGAAAGGTTCCATTAGCAAAGAAGGTTAAATGTTTCCTTGCATGATAAACTGTAGAGACTTTATCTTACAAGCTAGGACTAGCTCCAGAAATGCAAAATAGGGATTTTTGTACTGGTTTTGGCTGGGAGAGAGTTAATTTTCTTTATGGTAGCTCATATGGTGTGAATCAGCCTAAAGAACAGCAGGGGAAGAAGGAAAGCAGGATTACTTGCAGGTCACTCCCTTTTATACACAGATAGGGGCTAAACAACTAGAAAGGGCGATGAAGGGGGCAGAGTTTCAATCCACACTCTCCATTCTCTTTCTGTACCATCTGAGCATTTAAACTGCTGGTCAGAAGCAAGAAAGAATTCAACAAAGAATCATATTCAAAGGTCCATTTCCCTTCCTAACATGACTCAGAAAGCACTGACCCTTATTACATACCCCCACCCAAGTAAGAACTTACTTCTTTATGTTGGGTACATATAAAGTAGACTGGAATGCAGGTAGTTCAGACTACTGTTCAAATCAGCTGTACGTGCACTAAAAAGACATGTTTTGGAAGAGATACCAGTGACAGCTCAGACTCATTTTGAAAAATAAAAAAAAAATGGTCTCAAGCTTTTGAAAAAGAACACATGCACTCTTGTCTCTGTAAACAACCTGATTTTCAAGATGTCTTTAACGTACAATGGCCTGGTTTTATGGGTCGGTTGATTTTTGTTTGGGTTTTGGTTGGTTGGGTTTGGTTGGGGTTTTTTTGCTTAATGGCTTAGGTGTAAAATTAACTTAGAGCTGGAACACATGAATTGATAACAGCTTGTTTTAAACTATCCAGTTATAGGGCTTGATTAAATATTAAAGTGCATTAGCCTGATTGAACTAATACATAATTTGATGAAACAACAATTACTCTTCTTAACTCTTTAGAGTAACCTTTATCTTGCTGACAATGAACACTCCAATGGGAAAAGCACTACTTAATGATGTCCTGAAAATAAAAATGAGTTTTACCTGACAGCCTTTTATCATGCACTTTGGAAAACAAACAAACAAACAAGAAAAAAAAACAAAAAACCAAACAACAAAAACACAAACCAAACCAACCAAACAAACAAAAAAAACCCCACAAAACCACAACCAACCAACCATCCCACTCCCCCACCCCCCCAGGAGTGTGGATCAAATTAAAAGCCACAAAGGAGTGTTTGTAATTATCCACAATGGAAGACAGCTCAGGAAAACATTTATGCAGGAGCAGGATGTGAATGGGGGTTAAGCAAGGATGTAGAATGCAGTTATATCCTTGGCTTTATCTCTGGACAGAATCACAACTTCTAAAGAACTCCTACTGCCAGTGATATTAGCAGCTGTCCCTGAAGCCATGGCTTATGTCTCATCTCAGGTGATTTTCATTAAGGTAATTAACTTTACAATAAAGTGGCCTGGGGACCAGAGCTATCATATGGAGTCTCATCCCCTAGAACTCCCATCACTGTGCTGATTACTGCTTTTATGCCTCAGTTTTTCACTCCCACAGTTGTGGAGACACACTAGTGGAAAGGCAGCACTACAAAACAGTTTGTTAACCTCATCAGGGTTAACAAATAGCTTTTACTTTAAGGATTGAAAAGATTTTATCTTGGCTCTTCTCCCAGGTCCACTCGCAGATGTAGAAAGAGCAGCAAACTGCAGCCACAAGTGAAGAAACATGCTCACTTGGGAGCATTTGGGTTTTCTTTGACCCAGTTTTGTCACCTAAGTTATTTCTCCAGATTGGACAGTTCAAGAGACAGTTCAGAGTGTCTGTCATGTGAGTCTAATTAACAGAAAGAGGGTCCTAGATCCAGAGTCACTCCTATGCTGGTTCATTAGTGATAAGAGGTGGGCCACATGCTCACTTCCGCAAGTTCAATAAAATGGGTACTCCTCTGTGATGGGTGGTCACACAGCAGTGCCTATGGCTCAGAGAAGGAGCCCACACCGTTCAGCTTTCAGCCCCAAGGACTGGGGACTTCCTACAGTCACAAACACAAATCACTGGGCTGGATTTCAGGTTGAGTGACTTGAAGGCAGAAAGCCTACAGAGGCAAGTAGCTGTGATGATTATCCAGAAAAAAAAGCAAATAGTTTCTGGACCACAGAGCTTCCTGGAGCTGCACACACTGAACAAGGAGCCTACCTGCTGTTTCTCACCTCCTTCAGCTTTTAGTGAAACTTGACTTTCATTCAGGCATTTTGCAAAGACCTGACTCAACAACACCAGGTATGACACTTGACCCACAACACTTCTTTCAAACAACAGTAGGAATACCTTGCAGAAGACTTCAAATATAGACTAAACTGCACAGACCATTAAAGCAACAACCATTAAAAAGGCAAAAAAAAAAAAAGGCAAGTTTCCTTATCCTTATGATCCTGTTAAGGTCTCCTGAGATGCATTTAAGATTTTTTGGGGGTCATTACTTTCTTATGCTCTTTCCCCATACCCATTACCTTGTGCATTTGTCCCTCTTTTTTTTTTTCCCCAAGAAACAAGTAGTGCAAGTTAACAGTGTGCAAAATCACCTGAATCTTTCAGAATCCCAATGCTTTTTATGTCAAGGTCCCATCAAGTGCTGAAACACATTCAATCTTTTTTTCCCATAGAAGAGGACTGAGTGAGCATTGGAGAACCCATCCTTGCAGTACTCTCTCCCACAGTGTGGTCTGCAGCATGAAGTACTGCACTCAGCCTCTTCTAGGTCCCTGAACAATAAAACCTCCTACACAACATCTCACCTGTCCAAGAATTTTGTTGAAACAGCACCAGCGAGAGGGAAAACAAACACTCAGAAGAACCCACACAAAGAGAGCAGAGCAAGGCCAGGTGACTAACACCAGAAATATTGATTAAGTATTAATGCCTACTACTTTAATATCACTCATTAAAAAACTATTGCTGTGCTACCATGGTATCACCTATGACCTTTATAAAACAGCAATTTATTTCTTTCCTTTGTCAACAACTGCCCAGCCCTGAAAGTAACATATTAAAGATGCATTAGGGATTGGCATTAACACTCATTCAGATCTCCACTGTTCGTACTGCCAATACAAAGGGTGATTTTCAATTAGGTTTGTGTTTTGCTTGCTTTGTTTACCAACCTTGCTCTTAAAACAACTTCTGATGCTGCTGCCTAAATAGTAAAATCATTAAAGTGGAAGAAAACCAGATAAATGCAGGAACAAAAAAAGGGGGATAAAGAAGGAAAGAAGTATGTGGCACACAGTCTACTGAGTGCAGCTATTTGGCCCCTGTTTCCTATAGTAAAATTACAAGGACAGTTCCATCCCTGCAAACTCCCCATGTTGCAGCAATACAGTACGTACAAGATACATGTTCCTAGGTCCCAGCCCAGGGCACCTGAGTAAGAAATAGGAATAACCAGATTGCTCTGCCTATGGTAGGCTAAAGGGGGTGGTGGGAAAGACAGCTGGATCCTGTGGATTTTCAGGGCTTGTATAGCAGCACTGCACCTGTAAAAAGCCACTGGCTTGACAAGATGCATTTTTTTTAATAGCCTCTCCTCTGAAAAGTGCCTGCTGATTCCAATGCAACTTTTTCCAGGGCAAAGCTTTACCCAGACCAAGTAAAGAAGATACATTGTGGCCTCTTGAAACTGAAATTCATCATTTGATCAATAAGATCTTTTCAATTATGAGCTACCCAAATTAAAAATGACATGCTGGTCTGTGTCAATTTTAACCAAAGCTGTAGCAAGACATTCTGGTGCCCTAGCCAAAATGTCAGTTTAATGCTTATTCTACCCATCCTTTCCTATAGCCTGAAGTAGATTTGGAGCCGAGAGCAGCTTCTGGCCAAAGCTGTTACTCTCATTACTACATTACTACCTTTGGAGCCGAGAGCAGCTTCTGGCCAAAGCTGTTATTCTCATTACTATATTCCTACCTTTCTGACCCTAGAGAGCTCTCTTGGGTAGGTGCAGAAGGCAAGGGCGTATTTTTATTTTACCAACACCTACCCAAATGATCTTTGGTTGCAGTTGTTTTCACTGCAGTGAAACTACTAGACCATAAGGAATAGGTTGAGCAGCTCTAACAGGTGTAATTCACTTGACATACCCAAACTTTTCTGAACACTTCGCTGGGCCAAGTGTTTCTATCACTTCCTTGAGTGAAAACAGAGCTGACAGCCTCAGCTGCAAAATAGCTTCCATGTTACTTAATTGTAACAGCAAGTTTCAGCAGAGATACTCAAAATACCAACATCCACTCAGTGAGACTGACTGCAATCTACCCTGATGAAATAAGTAACCACCCCTACCTCTTGTCAAAGTGATTCATTCAAGATGACAAAGCAACTGCAATTATTTTTCATTACTTATACTGAGTTTGTAAGCATATCCTAATAAAGATCAGGGCCTTTTGATGCAATAACAGACACAAAGTGTAGGCAAAATTGAGTAACTTGTTTTGCCCTTACATTTGTGAACAGCAA